ATGTGTTTTTAAATACAAATATACAGCACACATGACACAGAGCAGCATCCTCTCATCGTCATCTAAAATTATCTAATATTTTAGGTTCAAAAAGTTAAGAGTTTTGTTTTGTATTTTAAAAGAAATTTCCCAAGTAATCCTTGTATAACGTCAAGATGATTTAACTTTGGCTTCAAGGGTTGCATATCTTTGGTAGAACAGGGCTGTAATAACTTCTATATATGGTGTAATGAAAGAACATGGTGTATAGCAGTATGTTAAATTTATACATAGCTGACATTGTTGGCTGACAGCGACAATATCTAAGCCCTCCTTCTGAAACAGCAAACGCATCTAGGTGATATGAATACCTGTGTACCAATATGCTAAACAATCATGGTAAAGTTTAATATAGAACAGGTCTTACAGGGATCAGCTGGAGATCTGCACCAGGTGAACAGACAGGCTCAGAATAGCGCCCCAGGTGACGATGCGATGAAAAAGCGCATCAAAAATCTTCAAAGAAATGGGTTGAGATTCGACTCACTTCTTTGTCTGGCTCCTGCCTTGATCTTCGGCCTCCACAGACAGGCATCTCCAGCTCCTTATAGAAGGCTGAAGAATGACAAGAAAGGTGCTGACACAAAAGCCTGCACATGCCTGAAGTGACACGCTAAAACAGTGGAGAATAATGAAATGGTAATTGAAACGCGGAGCCCATCATTTTTTAGTGAGTGTCAGGTCTATTTGGGCACAGAGACGAGAATGAGTTTGAAGAACGGAGGTAACTTTCATTGTTCATCCATTGTTGCTGACTGTTACTGCGCACACAATTTCTCATTAATATGCACCAAATTAAATTACTCAGAAATATTGCTTCAAATTAGATCACGTGTCATAACACTTTACAGGTGCACCACATAACATTGCTACTGGGTGGTACGTCACCTGAATGCCATACTGTGGGACATTCTTGGCAAACCAGTAATATATCCATGGAAACAAACAAGTGGTCGAAACTCCATCTGAAAAGTAACATAGAGCACCTATAAATGTTCAAATGTAATGGCATTATTTCAGAAGCGATGATGTTTAAAGGTCCTATATTACACAAAATGACTCTATGAACTTTTAGCCGTGTTTGAATTGTGTTAGCACCTTCAAAACATAACTGGAGTTGTGTTTTGTTTCATATACACATTTGAGTAACTCTTTATTATTTGTGGCTCTAAAAGATCAGTAGAGATTGGCAATTTCAGGGCTGAAATGATCCAAATGATTCTAGTGAAGGTGTATGTAGTTTAAAAACACATTAGAGCACTTCCTGTATCACCACATGACATCACAAGGTGGAAAAGAGTGTTTTCTATTTGAGAGAAGAACACAGTTTAAATATCCAAGATTTGTATTAAACTTGTGTGAAATAAAATGATAACAGATCAGAGAATGGCGTAATATGGGCGCTTCAATAAGTAAAGTTACAAGTAATTTTTTATAAATTATGTGCTGCTCATTTGGCATCAACCTACTTTATCATTATTTATTTTCTCATTTTCCCTTCCGTAAAAAGATGGCAGAAAGAAAAACACATTAAAAAGAATTTTGCATATTTATTACTGACTAGCTTCATATGCCTTCTTTGGGTCTAGCCTAAGTACTGAGCTGTAACCCCCTTATGCTTTGATAGCCTTTAACAAAAACTATTTTGCGTTCCCATAGCTCATACAAACACAGTCAATTCCATTGTAAATTCAGAAAGCGCGCATAAACAGCAGCAGGCTCGTAAGAGAACAAAGGAGGGAGGGGCAGGAAGTGGGGGTAACGGTGCCGGGGGACTGGCTGGACTGACAAGATGTGACAGGGCACACATTGGCTCGCAGGGTGGCTACTAGTTTAAACTCCAATCGCGCTGTTCTTTCCTCCCTTAAGACTTTTTAATATGATCGGCCTGAACCAGAGCAGAGACAGAGCTGTATCCTCACTTCCTCATTGCTCCCACTTATGCAGATGGGTCTTTAATTTCATCACCAAAATGGCCATTCCTCTAGCCCTCATTACAGCTTTATATGTGTTTTGATGCAGTGAGAATGGGCTTGGTCAATAGTCTATGCATATGTGTGTGTGTGTGTGTGTGTAATACTGATATTACTCTAGATTGGATTAGCTGGAGAGAGACATCTATATTCCTATCAGGTCTGCCTGGTTCTGCCCCTCCTCCACTGGTATCGTGCAGCATTATCGATCCCAAACAGCTCTATTTCCTTTCTGTGTCCAAACTTATTTAGTTCTCTGTCTTTGCTGCTCAGTAGGATTCCCTCTCCTTCTCTTTTTGTCTAGACACTAGATAATCTTGACATTTACCCACAACTCAGTTACAACAGCCAAGTGTGCAATTTCAGTTATATTATGCGATTATCTTTGGTAGGGCTGCATGATTAATCGCAACTGAATAGAAAACACAATTTGAATGGATGCAATTAAAAAATCGCAAAGGCTGCAATTTTTAATTACTATAATTAGGGCTGCGCAAATAAATCGATTAAATCTATGAATCAAATTTGAAGTTCAAATCGATTTGTTTGGGAAGGATCCATTTATTTCGTCCACTTTTCTTTCATTGAAAATGCATGAAAGGCTGCTCACTTCAGTCACTAGGGACCAAAGTTTAGCACAGGTCCATGCAGCGCTGACTGCTTTGAAATCAGTGACGTCAAATTAAATGTTGAGGCTTCATGTTTAATGCAATAGTTTCGTTTTATCTCATTCAAAAAAGATTTCCTCGTTGGGTTAAATATGATCATTGAATAGATTTTTCATTTTCTGTAGTTTGCAGAACATTTTTAGTGGAGTCAAAATCAACAATTTTATTTTCAGGCAAAATCGCCAAGCAACAAAATATTCAGTCAGAAAGCTGCAAATCTTGTAGTCTAATCCTCTACAATCATGTTCTGAAATGCATGGGATTTTTGGAATAGTTTTCCATTTCATATTTCAGCCTTCTTGTCAGTTCTTTTGGACGTGTTTAAATGTGGACTTTATAAATCAAAATCGAATTGCAATGCTTGTTGGAAGATAGTTAGTTAGTTAGTTAGTTTGTGGTATTAGTTGCATCACAATTTCTTGATACATTTTAAAACTGCAAAGAATATGTAATTTTCTATGGCATAACTCTTTGTAATTCTGATATAAAGGCTTTAATGCTTATTGAATAAAGTGTTCCAAAACCAAACTATGAAATCCAGCTATGGACAAAATCAACCATCGCAAATTACAGTTGGTACCTCTTCAGCATTTTATTACAGTCTCATCTAAATTTTGACTGCAAATGACTTTGAGGACTTGGATAAATCAATAGTTCTTAATTAAATTTCGGAAGAAGTAACTTTTGACAAGGCCAAAAGAGGGAGTGTGTATGCTGTACAGAAAATATGACTAGAGCTAACTAATGGCGACAGAAAGGGCTCGACTAATCAAGATACTGAGGAGAGTAGTTTTCCCATCTGCAACACTTGTTACATAGATGGATTAGTTAAGAAATGTTTTATATGGGAGGAGCACTTTTTGCTTTTCACCACTGATATGTGCTGACAGCATGAAACAGAGTGTCAAACCAAATGCATTCTGAAAAACCTGCATAAACAACTGTATATATAGTCTGCATACACTTTTTCTTTTATTTTTTCTTACTTTGAATGGCGTCAAAGCAAATATTCAACTTTTCCTACCCTCAACCCTAACCTCCTACCACCTGCCAGCTAACTTTACAGCTCAACCAAATTTCACCTTTTTCACTCTGGTGTTCTAGAAAGAAAAAAAAAATCATCACCCATTCTCTCCCTTCATCGCATCTCTGCCATCTCTACCAGGGTCTACAGCCAAAGTGTGTTTCAAGGTATTTTTTGCCTTGGGCTTTATTTGACGGGATGAATGCGAACATGATATGGGAGTGAAGAGTGGGAAGAATAAAGTCCTTTTTTATCTCGCTGTTTATGTCATAGTAACTTTTCATTCATAAAGTTTTGTTTCATAGAGTTTGAATTTGTGTTCATACCTGACAACATTTTCAGTTAGTCTAATGTTAAACAAATGGAGATTTTAAAATGCTAATTTGCTCACTCTAGCGTTCATTCAGAAGTATGCTGACACAGCCCATGGATTTCAAAATGAGGAAAAATAAGGACAGTTGCCAGAGTGATTACCAATTTACCAATTAATATTATATTATTATTAATATTATAAGTTTTGAATAGATAAAATATTGCATATAACAGGAAGCTGAAAACAATCATTAATGTGTGTGAATAGCTCTTTGTTAAGTTTTTTTGTTGTTTTGGTTAATGCATATCTACAGATGGTTTTGCTTTTAATGGCTTTTTTTTTTTTTTTTTACATTTTATCCTAAGCTCTACTCTGAGGCATGACAATGTATTTACAAATAAAGCTTAAAGGTCCTATAGTACACAAAACTGACTCTCATGAGCCTCCTCAAAAACTTACATAGAGTTGTGTTTTGTTTCATTCACTCATGTTTGAGTTATCCTTTATTATTAGTCTGGTATTATTGCCAAAGCTCAAAATGCTCTCTTCCACTTTGTGATGTCATGAAGCTGTAGGGTCAGAAGAGATAGGCATTTCCCAGGCTGAAGTCTCCTGAAATGATTCTCGTGAAGGTGTATGGAGTTGAGAACACATTCGAGCACTTCCTGTGTTACCACATGACATCACAAGGTGGAACAGAGTGTTTTTAGTTTGAGGGAAGAACTCAGCCTAAATATGCAGGGTTTGTGTGTTAAACATATGTGACTGAAACAAAACACAACTTTGCGTATGTTTTGAAACAACATTATAACAGATCAGAAAATACTGTAATATGGGCCCTTTAAACCACAATGTTTCTACTCACAATAATTATAACAGTCAAACTTGACAGTCTAACAAAAGTTGTGTATCCATTTAGTTCATCTACTCACTAAACTATGACTCATTTGGCTCTCCTGATTGAAATATGTGCTTGGTTGCAGGGCCTGTACCCTAGTCCTGAGGAGGGCTGGCAGATCTACAGCTCGGCCCAGGACGCAGATGGAAAGTGTATCTGTACGGTGGTGGCTCCGGCTCAGAACATGTGTAACAGAGACCCACGCAGCAGACAGCTCCGGCAGCTCATGGAGAAGGTGACAGCTGTCCATAGAAGCACCAGACACGACACGCTCACATATACACGCACACAAGCATACACAAACTCTACACTGCTACACAACATTAGCCAAGGAACAGTCCTCACTTCACCTGCTTTTACACCGACTTAGCATTTATTTATTTACTTATTTACCAAACATGCACAAACATTTTAAATAGTTCATACAATTCTATAGAAGTCTAGTAAAAGGGAACTCCCCAGAAACTACATTAGCTTATAAAAGAGGCCCCCGATATAAACAAAACAAAATGCATAATTACAAGTTATAATTTCATATTATCCCATACCATCACCCTAGACAATCCGTTTGTTTCCACATGGTTAGCATTCGTCCTATCACATTCATACATTGTATAACACACTGCATTTTTGTAGCACATCAAGCACTATAAATTACATTTGATTACATACAAGTTTGTACAGGATTATTCTAGTTATTATTCTAGTTATACACTTATTCTATATATATGTGGGGTTATAACTTTAACTTCTAAATATGGTGGTGTACTTTTAGGCCAGACTGACTGAGATAAATATCACTTCATAAAAAGTCTTATTTCAGCTTGATGCCGTTGTTGAACAGGGAGTGAAGAGTGAGAAGAGGCATTCAGCAAGCATAGAATGATGTGTTGTGGCCTACAGCCCTAAACTATTGTTTGTATGTTTATTGGATGTTTTTAAGACTGACTAGCTTATAAACTATAAGAATATATTGTAGCGTCTCACTCATAGACTGTATATATATGAACGGACATAGCTAACTTGCAAACCACAGCTTTCCAGATAGAAAGTGAACATGGGCACGCTGCCGGCTCCATCGACTCCAATTCACTTAGTATTGAGAAAACATCATCCCTCTCTCCGTAACTGCTGCTGTCAGGCTCCTCATTTTGGTCTTAAAATATTCATATTTACCCGCTCTACATGATCTTGGTGTTTTTATTTAAATATTTTGTCCATAAATCAAGTCCTATTCCTAAAATGGCACTGGCTCCAAATTTGCCCCATAACTGCTAGCCTTGAGAGCTTCATTTGGCTGGAGCCGATAGCTACGGGTGACGTCACGCTCCCTTAGTCCACTTCTTCATACAGTCTATGGTCTCACTCAAGCTAATTAATCAGATAGAGTAGTTCACAAGATGTCACTTTATTGCAAAATCTGCTGGCTGTAACCACGCCAATACAAAGTGAATGGAATAAGAAAAAGTAGCACTGCTGTACCTCAGCCCGCGCTTCTCTCACCAAAATCACATCACAGTCACTACAGTGTCCCACACACAAGGCCAGCCCCCACAATTTTTTTCAGTTCAGTTTAGTTCATTTATTTGAGCAACATGAAATATTATGATATCAAAGATGAAATATTATTGTACTTAATGTGCTGCATTACAGTAATGCACAAAAAGGAAAAGGAAGAAGACTTACATTTAGGTTTAACTCATTGGACTCCCTTAACGCACATCATTTTAGGTCATCTGAGTGTTAAGGAAAACTACAATCGAGGATTTACTAATACCTATAATACAATAACATCTAAAATGTACTGAGTGAACAGGCTGCATAAAAACTGCATGCACTAATCTACAGTAATTTAAGTCATGTGCAAATTTAAAAGGGAGTGCATTTATAAGATGTCATTTTTTTTTCTCTGTAATAATTGGAAACATGCTCTATCTTAATTGAGAGCTACCCTACTGTGATGTGTGTAATTTTCTGCTTCTCTTGTCTAATGCGTGACATGAGTACACAAAGGCCGGCCCATATGACAATAACATAGATTATATATATATATATATATATATATATATATATATATATATATATATATATATATATATATACACACACACACACATACATACATACGCACACACACACACAAAAACTAAAATGGAAACGGCCTTCAATAAGGTTTCAGTGAAAGGGTTGGCTTTGAAAGAATAAATGAAAGAATAGTGAGGGGTGTGGTAAATTAAAATCCAACAGATCCTTCAGGACAGAGATAAATCTATGAGACACAAAAATCTATAAAACAGATTCACTCTCTCAGTTATGTCTGTCTCACTTCCTGTTACACCTTACACACCAAAACACTCTTCAAATTCACCAGTTTAGAGTTCCTGTGTTTAAATGTCACGCTGGGAGGGGCAACTGGCTCGAGGGAGATTTTTGTTTGGGTTTTTTTTTTTTTTTTTGTAAATATATATACACTAGATCTAGCAATAGTAGTAGTAGTAGTTCTAGTTGTAGTAGTAGTTCTAATAGTAGAAGTAGGAGGAGTAGTAGTAGTAGGAGTAGTAGTAGTAGTTCTAACAGTAGCAGTAGTAGTAGTAGTAGTAGTAGGAGTAGTAGAAGTAGTAGTAGTAGTAGTAGTAGTAGTAATAGTAGTAGTAGTAGTAGACGTAGAAGATAGATAGAATAAAGACACAGGGACACAGAACAAAAACACACAGACTGATGAGGATACAGATTACAGACTGTTGAGCGCAGTGATGGCAGTAGTAGTAGTAGTAGTAATAACAGTAGTAGTAGTAGTAGTAGTAGTAATAGTACATCATTACCATTATATATGAAACAAATTACACTATTACAATATTTGATTAATTATTATAGTGACTCTATTTATTATTATTATAGAATGAATAAAGTTTTAGTTGCAAAAACTTGAGATTACTCTTAAAGGTTAGCTACGGTAAAGTTGCCTGTTATTAAAGCAAAATGCAGTATTGCTGAAACATTACTGCCCTTTCACAGTTATTAGTGGTTTGCAAAATTGTTGGCAAAGTTGTGATCTTTTTGTGTTCATTATTTTATCTATTAGCTGTTCTTCCTCTTTAAAACTGCCTATAAGATGCAGTGCAAGTGCTTCCATTTAGTTGAGCTTAATGAGAACTCCTGCGGTCAGCTGTACTTGAGTGAATGTGCGATGCCATCTCTGTCAGGACATCCTCAAATGAACCCACTGTAATAATGCATGCTTGTTCTTTAAAGAGCTGGAATAGACCAACGCTCTCCCCTGGATACAAAGAGCCAAGAGTATGCTAACAATGTCAAAGCCACAATGTTCAAAGAATGTAAACGAGGCACCGCTGAGAGCTTTGGTGCAGACAAACAATGCCACAGGGCAGGGCCTGAAGGACAACAGTGCACCGCTAGCCATGCAACATTAGGAAAAATAGCTCTATATTTTGACCTGTGACTAAAATTTAAAAAGGGCTTCCACAGTTAGGCAGCCAATAATTTCTTATTTGTAATCTGATTGTAAAAGAGTTTGTATTCTTGTGAGAAATCCCAGCAGCTCCATTCACAAGGTGTCAAAATTAATAAATTAAATACGAACAGTTCCATTTGGAGCTTCTGTTAATTTTTAGCTTTTTATTTGTTGAAGAAAATACACAACCATTAAGTCATATTTTAAATTCTCAAAACTCTCCCTCTAGTCACTTTTATGAATATTTGTTAAGTTTTGTCACATCGATGAAAATAAAATAGAGGCTACCCTAAGCCTTGACTATTTGAGGCAATTTTATGGAAATCAAAATAGGCAGGAAGCGATTGGTATGAGTCTTACCACCAGGGGTCAGTGATGAAAGTAATCTTTAGGTTCTGTTCTAGTCTTGTTTTTGCTGGTTTATTCCACTGTTATCCCAATTCTGATGCAGTGTTTTTGCAGTTGCCACTACATGATACATTTTAGAAGGTTTAATGCCTTGGTGGGGGGTCTGTGACTTTGAGAGATAGAGAGGGCATATGTATAACCAGAAGCAGTCAACTCTCCCCTTCAGACTGATGTCATATTAACTTTCAACAGTTGAAGCAAATGTTCACAGAGATCAAACGTTCCCAAGTCGGCGTCTGAGTCGTGGGAGAGGAGCTGGGAGGAGGAGCAGTAGGCTGAATGCAGAGTAACTGTGAGGGGGCCGTCATGGAGCTAACTGGCAAATTGTGCAAAACAAACTTCATGCCAAACCATGACCTCACAAATATGCCACACATTTTTGTTTTGTTTGAATCAGTAATTTCAAATATATATATTTTTTCTTTTGAACTGGAGATTTGGCTTGCCCTTTATATGGATAGGCAGTCATACCCATACACACAGTACATAGGACCACCAGCCCAGTGTCGTGCATCTCTGTCAGGAGTAAGTTGGTGCCGCGTGCAGGCGATGAGGGGGCGTAAGGAACAGTAGGCTTGTTATGCAGCAACAGAGTGGGTTGTACAGCAATGAGCAAGCAACATACTTAGTAAAAATTAACAGTAGAAAAACTATTGACTTCAGGGCAATCTGAGATATCTCGCATCCCAATATACTTTATGAAACTGACTTCATTTGCAAGTTGTAAATATTAACTTGGGCATAATTACTGTGTGTCCAACTGTCACCGCCCTGGAGGAAATAAATTGTTGAGAACAACTCTGACTTGAATAAATAATGGTATATTTTAATAAATTAGAATGAGTCGCAATGTTAAGCCGTGATTTGCAAACAGATCTATGGAGCAACATCCTTGAACTAGACATTTCAAATTATTTAAAAACATAAATTACGCTATGGTCTGTGCACCCTGCCTGGGGAAAAAAAGATATCGAATGGATACTGCTGAAAAATTCTACTAGGAAGATGTATATCGGCAATATGGCATAGCAAATTGTGAATTATACTTTTTAATTCATAATTCTACAGTGGAAATGTTCTATTTTATTACTGTATCTTCTATAAAAATGTTACTGAACTAATCTAAAATAGGCTTATTTATTATCAGTTACTCTGCAAAAGTTATTTTAATAGTGTGCAATCCAATACATTTATTGGCATATTGAGTATTTAGAAAGATGCCTAATAAAAAAATGTATTATTATTACTATAACTCAAACAATATCTTTTTTTTTTTTAATCAGACCTAATATAATATTATGCAGTATTTGTGGATCTCTTGGCAGGTAGTTAAAGAAGCAAAACAAGTATATTTAACAATAGAATATCTAACTACAGTGTCTGGGAGGGGAAAAAAAGAAAAAAGAAAATTTCCCAGTGTTGTGTTTGCGTTTTAAAAATAAAGAAGAGAATGAAAACGAGTTACACTGACTTACACCTCACTCTCCATGACTGTGTTGAACAGGTCCAGAACATCAGCCAGTCCATGGAGGTGCTGGACCTGCGGACATACAGAGACCTTCAGTATGTGAGGAATACTGAAAGTCTAATGAAGGTGGTGGATGGGAAGCTCAAGGTGGCCTCTGATAACCCACGCAGCCTCAATCCAAAGGGCTTTCAGGTAATTATGCTGGAGATGCAGGCAGACAGTGTTGTATAGGGCTACAAGATCGCAATCGAAATGACAATTTGAATGGCCGCAATTTGTAATTCCCTGCCATTTTTGAAGAATCGTTAAAGTTTCTTCCACAAACAAAATATTCATTCTTATTCTGCATTAAATGGCCCATACTTAGCTTTTTTCTGATTTATGTTATAATGTTGTTTCCTCCTCAAAAACATACCTGCATATTTAGGGATATTTAGTGAAAACACAGGAAATACAGACTGCACCTTCACTCATATGGATGATTTCAGCCATGGAATTGCCATTTTCTGTTGAACTTAAGGTAAAAGGTAGCTGTTAACTGGAAAACTACTGCTTCATGACATCACAATGTGAAACAGAGCATTTTGATCTTTGAAGATGTAGACAGAGTAATAATAAGGACACAATACCCAGGCATGTTTTTGATGAGGTAACAGTATTCTAACATGGCTTAAAGCTCACAAGTCATACTTGTGTAATATAGCAACAAAAAAAACCCTGCTAATCCTGAAGTTTAGATCTGTACAAATATGCTCTGAAATGTGAGTTTTCTGTTAGTTTGTCAGTCTATATTTTGTCAGTTCTTCTTGACACTTTTAAAATATGAACTTTGAAAAGAATCCTATTATTAAAACATAAATCGCAGCTCAAATCACAATTGCAATTCTTGTTAGATGTTTTTCCCAATCACTCAGCCCTCGTGTTATGTATTTATATATGTGAGTATTATTGTCTAGTAGTGAATGAATGCGGTGCTTCATTGTGAGTGCATGCAAACTTTGGCAGATGGATCGCAATCTCTTTTGCTCTTCATAGACAATAAAACTCAGGACGACTCGGCAGACTGCTGCATAAGCACAGTTACATTCCAATTCAATTCCCAAAGTCTTTCTGAGTCATTGAGCTAGACACAGCAGAAATTTAAACAAATTCACACAGTGTTGAATTATTAAACCTATGCTCGTTACATCCTGTCCTGCCTTCCCTCTTAACTGCTCTTTGACTTTACACACTGAAGTCCACCACAGCATAAAAGCTACATGCATTCACTGCCTTTACTTCTTATCTCTCCACAAGCTCAGACTCCACTGCTGTTATCGGTGGTGCTTTTTGTCTCCTTGTCAGGGCCTGTCCTGCTCTCTGCATATATTCCTCTTATAGATATTAAATTAGTGCATTAAACAGTTTGATTAAAAGTGCCTTGATAAATGGTGAAAGTTCTCCACTGCTGGCACTTGAGCGGAGACATGACTGACTGCGACTAGCTTCCGTATATTACATCAAAGTAATTCTATTGGCTGTAAACCTAATAAAGATGCTTATGAATTTAGTGAACACATCCGTCTCTGCTGTCTAAACTATGCACATTACATTACTTATACTTTGAATGCAAATCTCTACAATCCAATGAGACTCCATATTAAAAGCTATTTTTACAATGGTGGGATTGGACTGGTGCAGGTTGGCTGATGAATGCGTGGAGCTTAAAGTTGCCGATGGCGGAGCGTGGGAGATTAACGAGACCGAATTTTTGTGCCTTGAAAAGGGGAAAATGAGATTTATGATGCGGCGCCATGGGGCTGAGAGCTGCTCCATCACCAGATTTACGATAAACCCTAACAAGGAGGAAACCGCCCCTGCTGTGGCCAGTGCACTTTACTGATACACCCATTTCTCCACTGAGCCTTGTATCTCCTTTTCAGACCCTGGGAGCTACTGCCGACAGTGAACTTTAGGATTAAGTGGCCTTTTCACTTTCACTAACCATAACATGAGTCAGGAAGTAAACTTTGAGCTTGTAAACTAGCGCTGGGCAATATGACAAAGAAGGAATACACTTGTTTTCTCTCATATTGATCCATCTCAATATTGAATTAAAAAAGGTTTTCAGTGCTGATTTCATGAACATAAACTATACAAACTTTCATTGCAATTTAACACAAAACTCCCAAGTCTGAATGCCACATCAATGCCTCTTGATGAAAAACCCATAACCCAATCAGTGATGATTAGACAAAACTGTCAACCTCCACCTTGTGTGAATTGTTCATACATAGTGAAATAAAGTAAACTCTATTACAAATAAAAAATAAGATATAATCTTAAAAAGTTGCAAAATATACTGTAACAAAACCAATCAACCAATCAAATTATAGTTCTTCTGTTATAGTAAGAATTTTGTGTTACTAAAAAAGAGAAAGTTATTAAGAAAGTACAGTTATCCAACCAAACTTTCGTCTTATATGTAGATCACTACTGACCTTTACATCCTGTGTCCCCTAGGAGCTAAAAGACAAGGTGACCCAGCTGCTCCCCCTGTTGCCTGTTTTGGAACAATACAAAACTGACGCCAAAATGATCCTTAAACTCCGGGAGGAAGTGAGGAATCTGTCTCTGGTGCTAATGGCCATCCAGGAGGAGATGGGCGCCTACGATTATGAAGAACTGCGGCAGAGAGTCCTGCTGTTGGAAACAAGGCTGCACTCCTGTATGCAGAAACTAGGTACAGTGCGCTGCTGTCATAACCATTCAGGCCCATTCCTACTGAGCAGTAATCCACCCAGACTATATCCTCGCATGGAAATGGAAATCTAAGCCACACATTCTCCACACTTCCTCTTGTGCATGTGTGAACAGAGCCAATTCTCCAGATATCTGCCAGAGAACATGTGGCAAAAGAACTGTCCGCTCAAGTGTAAGGAGACATATACATTTTGATAAGGCGTTTTAATAAAGGGGCGAGGGGTGAAGCCTGCAGAAATGTAAGTGAACTTTAGGGTGAAATTGACAATCAAGAAAGCATGCAGTGAGCTCATGCTGTTGTTGCAAATATATGTTGTTCAATAGACATTTCATTTCCTTTTTCTGTAAATAGGTCAATATCTGGCTCTTAGAAGCTCGTTTCATAAAAATCTATTCACGGGTTTCAGATTCCTGTTATGGGCGGCATTTCAGGACTTATCACTATCATTTATCACTATTGCAGAGATATATTTAGTTTGAAATTGTTATCGCTATGGCAACGGTCCTAATGTTTGATCATTCTGAAATCCATGGAAATTTGATGGAAAGTTAGATCTAAAATGGCATGTGAGTGAGAACCAAAATATATATACAAGAATGGTTTTACAAGAGCTCTGGGCTGTGTTTTGATGAATATTTAAAAACAAATGTATTTTTTAAGAATAGCAATCCCTGTCCTTTATGTCTTATTCTTTGAAGTTAGTGGGAAGTTACTTAATCCTTTAAGATTTTGATCATTTCTGAATATTTTATGTGCAATGTTTTTCCTGTACTGGGTGTGGATGAGATATGACAAATCTTGTGGTCTGTAAATCCATCACTGAAAAATAAAATGCCACTGTTGTTGTGGTTGACCTGCAGGTTGTGGGAAGCTCACTGGAGTCAGTAATCCCATCACAGTGCGGGCTTCAGGGTCGAGGTTTGGCTCCTGGATGACAGACACTATGATCCCCAGCTCAGACAACAGAGTAAGTCTTCTTTGGGTTTTAATCCTTTCACACATTTCCTAGTTTAATCTAAACTAACTTTAATTCATTTAAATTTTTTTTGTTTATATAGCCTCGACCTTGAGGATTTTAGCATTGAATAAATTGACGCTCTGATAAACCACCCGTTACTTGCAAGAACTGAGTCCAATGTGTCATCAACAAATGTATATAATGAATGTATTAAGATCCCTCTCCCAAATAGTTTTAACACTTCTGCTAATGCTGTTTTGATCCCCAGCTCAAACAACAGAGTAAGTCTTCCATCGGGTTTCACATATTTCCTTCCAAAATTTGTTCTAATTTAATCTAATCTAATTTCTATTTTTTGAAAGGTGCACTGTGTAACTTTTCTGGTGAATGGTCTGCCACCTGCTTGTCTTTTGGTCTGAATAATCCACAGTATGGAAATAAATTTGGTTATTACAATGGAGACAAGTTACTGTTCAGGGCTATGAAGAAACAAGCCAGCACATAGTACGAATTCCTGTTTTTTAAGGCATTTAGAAGTTACACAGTGTGCCTTTAATTAATATATAACATAAGATAAAAATACATTAAAAACAAAAAACAGTGAGGACTCAAAGGACACACAGCACCATAGGAAAAACATGTACTCAAAAACTCAAGCAACCGTAAAAAAAATATGATTTAACCCAACAAATGCAACACAAGATTCTTTACCACCATTGTTGGCATGTAAGATTATTTCTACATTGTCAAAATCAGTCTTGACCAGTACTTAACACTCAATAAGCAGGACTGCTTTCAAATAGCACCTGTGCCAACTAGATACACCCTGGTCAACTTAGGCAGGTGACATGGCAATCAACTGTAGAGGCAATCTGATACTTTTGTCCATATCGGAGAACAAATGGCATTCCTATATTCCTGTCAATGTACATGTGGCATTTCGACACACAGAGATCATTTCTGCCAATACACATTTTACGTAGCCTTGACCTATTGAGGATTTTGTATTGAATAAATTGACCTTGGGCTTTTTATAAACCTGTTATTTGCAAGAATTGAGTCCAATGTATCATCACCAAGTATACAATAAGATCCCTCTTCAAAATAGTTTTAACATTAATGCTGTTTTGTCCCCTTTTACAATTTTTTTAGCAACACATCTCACAACAAAATAGTCATTGTTCAGAGCAGTCCAACTCCATGATCTGCTCAGGTGAAAAACGTCCTCATTGCTCGGCTGTCATGTTCCTTACGAGGCTGACGGAGCGCTGTGCCTGACTGGAGCCTCCTGCACACAGCCAGCACAGACAGACTTGAGGTGGGAATGCAAAGCTGAGTCAATGATGGATGGCATCCGTTTTGCTCGCTCATCCCGGTCTCCCTCTGTCACCGCCCGTCCGCTCTGATTAATCACTTTATTATCAAACACACAAATGAAGAGCTGTTTGGGCTAAAGTTTTCTAAATCACTGAGGTAATTACCAAGAAGTGTGTTGAGAGCTGGTCCACGCGCACATGATTTAGTAGAGGTGCTGCCTGATTAAAGATGACATATGGTTTTTCACAGACTGGAGGAATTTGTAGAGACACAAGTTCAGCTGAAGCGGAAATGAGACTGGAGTTGGAATAAACAAGGACAAAAATGGGCTAAATCAGGGTTGTACAAAAACAAAGCTAGAACCAAACCACAAGGATTAAACCACAACTGCATTTGGAGTAAATCAGGAGTAAATCGGGACTAAATCAGGACAAAATTAGGACTAAATCAGGAGTAAATCAGGTGTGACTGGAATTATGATAGGACTATGTCAGGATGAAACCAGTAGGGTTGAGACAAAACGTTGTATCACAAGATTTGCCACAAGATTGTGCGCACATGAGGAAAATGTTCTTGTTAGATTATTTTCCCCCCAGTATATGCATTGGGATTGGACAAAAAAGGGTTGGTGAGTTAACATTTTGAGAAGCTGTAATTCTAAAAAGCAGTGCAAAAAAAAATATATGTATATGTATATATATATATATATATATATATATATATATATATATATATATATATATATATATATATATATATATATATATATATATATATATATATATATATATATATATATATATATATATATATATATATATATATAGTGTGTGTGTGTGTATGTGTATGTGTATAATAAAATGTAAAGGCCAAAACTGTGAACGGAACCTCACCTTGTGTCAATCTCATGGATCTTATCTCCAGTCTCGTCTTGTGGGAATTCTGTCTCTTCCCACCCCTAGAAACCTGGTCTACACCAAGTCTTAATCACTAAATCAGATAAGAATAACCACTGTAAAAGTTCACACCTAATTCAGTATTAACCATGTACAACATAAGGACTAAACCAGACTTCAGGGCTTATCCCCATTTGCTCTAAATCAAGACATCATGACATGAGCCATTTACTTATAAAGGTAAAGGGTTTTAAGGGTTGCATCAAGCCAAAATTTTCACCATTGTGAAACATTGTGTATAGTCACTTACAAATGATGATACATTTGCTATATTATGCAGCACTAAAAAAAAATACTTAAGGGAAAAAAAAACAGCTGTATCTTAAACTCCAGTCGATAATAGATAATACATGAGAGAAAAGGTCATACAACGCTGTTCTTGATTGAACGCCTTGATCGTTATGACTTCATTTACTTGGGAATTTGAAGCTTGTTACATCAATCAATGAATGCATTTATCCCATGATGCATCAGCAATATTGTCATCATCACCCACACAAATCATCATATAATTATATTTGAAGAAACGTTACAGCCTTGAGGAAGCAAAGAAGCATAAGAAAACAGCTTTGTCTCAATGTCCTCTAAATGGGGCCTGGCTGAATTCCCACTACAGAGTTCAGCACTGGGGAGTCATTGGAGAGGCAGAGGAGAAACAATGCCTAATGCCTCATAATCCCCTTTTCCTTTGCACTATATTTCACACTTCAGGGTAGCCCACATATGCACAATATCAAAAAGATGTGATATTCAATCACTGTATTGTATGCCGATATTTTAATACTTTCTGACACAATACGTTCACTTAAACAACAATATTCAAATTACAAAATTACAAGTATTAAATTACTAATCAAACATGTCAAAATGTATATATTTTTTCATTACAGTAAATTTCCTTACAGATGGAGAGCCTTGTGTTGTTAGGTTAGACATATATTTATTGTCTTGAGAAGTTGAGTTAGCCCATATTGAGAAATTTAAATTTAAGCAAAACATTGTGCAGGCCTACCACGTATAAACACCATGAGTGGAATTACAGTAAAAGCTAAATATTTGTCCCATCTTTATTGAAAGAGGCATGGGTCAAATGTACAATTATGGACATGCAGGAGTAACAAAATGATCAGGTCACCAGTGTAACATGATTTTGTTACACATTATATTGGTGATCATTTGGATTTACTTAAAATTGTAATAGTAGCGAAATGGTGTTTTTTATTTATTTTGTGTTTTTTTCTGTTTTTTCTCTAGAGTCCATGAAAATAGTCTAACTTTGTTAAGACTTGTAGTTGTCTACGTAGCAGAAAGGATAAATGGAAAAATTACTGGTGCTGCAATAGTTCAATGTGGATTAGGCTTCAGTAATGCCCTGCTTGATATGTTAAGCACAAAATAAATATCTTAGCCAAGTGTGGTTTAATTGAATCAATTGGAGCTGAACTGTGCCTGGGCGAGGCATTGAGGGAATGATATGGGAAACGCAGGCGGAGAGAAGCCCATGTCAGAGGAGCAATCCGCTGAGAGTGCTTGAGGAAAAAGATAGAGCTGCTAAATGGATAGATTTTCTGTAACTGTGGACTGGGAAGGCCAGAGAGCACAGGCAGTGGTTGACTGCAAAGCTCATGCAATGTCTTCACTCCCACATTCAGCTCAGATCAATAGTGCTGCACATACGGAGAGGCATTTGGCACAGCTCAATGGCACACACTGTAGCATACCCAAAATGCTTACCCCTGCAGGCGTACCTACTGGCGATAATCAACAATACTATCACTATTATCACGGACATGGACCAGCTGTTGTCGATTACAAAGGTCGTTACTTAAATTTCAGCTTAGCTATGCTTCACTCTCGGACCTCACAACACCCTCAGATACAGTACATACAGTGTAAACAGTGTAAACAGTGAATGTATTATGTAGGAAGACGATGATCACAGTAGACAAAGTGATATTCCACAAAGTGACGGGCGAAGGCCAGTTCTGATGTAAACAAGAAGACAGAGAGGAAGGAAACAGGTTGTATAAATAATGTAGAGACAGGAAGAGGCATGAGGTGAGGTCCATGCTCCTGAACCCAAGATTGCTAAACTTATCTTGATTAAACCTGAACATTAATTGACATTTAAGAAAGTCTAGACTCACAAACATTTAAACTAATCTGAATTTAAGCTAAACTAGGTCTAAATACAGTTTTGTAGTTGGTGTGAAAGTCCATGACTCTAATAGGACCTTACATTTTGTGTGTGAAATTTCCTTTTGGATAGAAGAATGCAAGATTAAAAGAGATATCAAGTATGAAAAGTAAGTCTAGTGGATATAAGTGAACTTAGTTATTGCAGATTTCAAATAATGTAAAAAGTCAAAGTATTTAATTTTAATTAAACAGAATAAGTTCAAAGTTCTATCAGGTCCCTGTTTTTTCAGTCAGTAAAAGGCTTTGTACCCTGCACCTTCCTGTGATTTTAGCTACACCCTTTATCCCCTCAGCACCAGCTCCATCAGCACCTTCAGTCCCTCTATCTCCTCTTCAATACCCTTCACCCCCTGACAAAAATCATCATAATTCTTCTCTATCAAGCTGCTAAAGTTTGCCCTTCTCTCCTTGTCGGTTTAATGTTCTCCTGGCTGAAATTATTGCATTTTCGTTTTCTGCAGGTCTGGTATATGGACGGCTACTTCAAAGGGCGGCGGGTGCTGGAGTACCGCACCATGAATGACTTTATAAAGGGACAGAATTTCGTGCAGCACCTGCTACCACACCCCTGGGCAGGCACTGGTCACGTGGTCTTCAACGGCTCCCTGTACTACAACAAATACCAGAGCAACATCATCATAAAATACCACTTTCGCTCTCGCAGTGTGCTCATCCAGAGGAGCCTGAGCGGGGCTGGCTACAACAACACTTTTCCATACTCGTGGGGTGGGTCTTCTGATATCGATCTAATGGCAGATGAGAATGGACTATGGGCTGTGTATACCACTATCCCAAATGCGGGCAACATCGTAATTAGTCGCATGGAGCCCCAGAGTCTGGAAGTACTGCAGACTTGGGACACTGGCTTTCCTAAAAGAAGTGCTGGGGAGTCGTTTATGATCTGTGGTACGCTTTACGTCACCAACTCCCATCTTGCAGGGGGCGAAAATCTACTTTGCCTATTACACCAATACGTCCACTTACGAGTACACGGATATCCCCTTTCACAATCAGTATTCGCATATTTCTATGATGGACTACAATCCCAGGGAGAGGGTGCTGTATACTTGGAATAACGGACATCAAGTGCTCTACAACGTTACACTGTTTCAAGTTATTAAGACTTCTGGGGACTGAGGCAAGCACCAAATTACTTATACAAATACTGTGATCATTGTTTGGGCGGGACTCAATGATTGGAGGGTGCAGTCTATGGGGTAGGTGTATGGGGACATATTCTCTGATTTTTATAAAACTGGATAAAGTCTTATTATCCACAATCTGAAACGAACTGTGACAGAGACATCAAAGTACAAAGACATGGACTGTTTTTGCTTTACTTTCTGTGATGAGTCCGCATGGTTCTTCTTTTTATCTGTGGTGAGAAAATAAATATCAGTCTTTACCATATAATCTTGGTATATCTTTGCTTTCTTTTCACTTGGACCCCTGCTGTGATTTTGGTAGTAAGCTGCCTCAAGGCATCTCAAAATGTGGTTTATTCTTAAAATGGGCTTATTAAAAGACAGATGTGTGGAGTGTTTTTACTGTAACTTTTCTTACTACTTACAACAGAAGTGATAACCAAAAAGAAAAGCATTTAACTGTGTTCATTTTTTCTGTGCTGTTTTGGAAGCTGAAAATTGGCAACTCCTATAAACAAGGTTTTCCATCAGAGGAAGCATTTAATATTGACAGTCTGTAAGGACTAGCGAAACAGTTTCTAGACTGACACAAAATGTTTGTTTTACAAGCCTGGGCCAATATTGAATTGTTGTAACTGAACGATGCTCAAAATTGGATGTGTACAAAACTGAATCCAATAGAATGACCAATAGAACAAATTAGTTGGAAGCTACTACATTATACTGGGAAATTTAACTATCTACTATTTATTATTTTAGTGTCCTAAACCTGACATATGGGGGCATTTTCAATAACATTTTCAAACTGCTGTAAAGATGCATCTACATTTTACAGAACCATTTTGTTGTAACTTTTCTGGTGTGGGTTTGTCACCTGCTTCCCTCCATGGAAATATTACTGCTTCGCTTGGGATGTTCCACAGTATGGCATTAAGTTTAGTTTAATATTTGTTTGAAGAGACAATGTACAGAGACATTAAGCTCATAAAAACAGAAATGTTCCACATCAGATTATAGCTAAATAGCCAGTTTCCATCTGCAGCCCCTGATTTACAGAAATAAATTATACAATGCAACTCAACAATAAGAGTAATTTACACTGTGCACTCTCTGACCCACACACACGCACACAATATCACACATACAGCACAAGCACACATCACAACAATGAGCATTAACAAAATCACGAGTTGGTGTATATATCTTTCATTTAGACAGGTGTGTTTATTGAAAAAAATACCCTGGAAATGATGCATTCATGTGAGCATGGATGCCTCTCCACAGATCTGACCGATAACTTGGCCTGGTGGTATCTCCTTCTTGTCTCAGTGGAATTAAATAAATCCAATCCCATAATGTGGAACATTCCAGGCAAAGCAATAGCATCTCTATGGAGACACACAGGTAGTGCAAGCCCCATAATTAAGAAAAGTTACATAGTGTATAATAATGAGCATTGTTTACACAGGAAATGCATGTATATCTAATCAGGTATGCAGTTTGAGTGGCCCCTTGAACTATCATCTATCACCTATTAAATAGATTTAGCCGAGCACGGACATGTACAGATAGAAGAGCAACAAAAGAAGATTATATTAACAATAAAATCTGCACTCAGCTTTTATACTGTTCAACTCAATCTTATTTAAGAACACCAAGGTCAAATATGTTTATGTAAAGGAAGGCACAAAGAAAGAACTATACACATTTTGTAGTATACATTATTACAAAGATCTTGTATTAATGGACAATGTAAGGTTTGTAAATCATTCTTCTTCATCAATTACAGAATGCAATAATCCTTTTTATAGTGTATAAGGAATCAACACCCATGGTACAAAGACACATTCTTTACATTTCTTTTACAAGGCTTGAGAGGAGCAGCCATCTTAGATACGGGGGATGTAAAATTAAAGAGAAAGCAGCACTTTTACTGTCTGTCTGTAACCATGGCGATCCTTTTCATATGTGATGACCTTTGTATCAATAAAGTGCAGCAATGAAGAGCACCCGATGAGCTCAGACCCTGCTGTGGATGGCATTTAACACACAATACAGTAATGCAGCATGTTCAGGGGCAGGCTAAATACGGATTATAGGAGAAGTGTAATGTACTGCAATCTCAGGCTGAAAAACATGAGTAAATAAAATAACATTAAAGGTCCTCTATTACAGAAAAGTGATTGTAACCTTTAAGTAATGTTATAATGTTGTTACCCCCATCAAAATAAACCTGGAGTTATGTTATGATTCATTTACACATGTTTGAGTAACGCTTTATTATTAGTCTGTCTGCATCTCCAAAGCTCAAAATGATCTTTCTAGCGAACGTGTAAGGAGTCTAAAAATGCAATAGAGCACTTCCTGTATTGCTACATGACTTCACAAAGTGGAACAGAGTGTTTTCTGCTTGAGAGAAGAACTTAGCCTAAAGGATTTGTGTGTTAAACATGTGTGAATGAAACAAAACAGTTCCAGGTATGTAAGTGAGGAGGAAACAACATTATAATACAGATCAGAAAATAGCATAATATGGGCCCATTAAAGACTCAACCATGTCAAAATTATAGAAGCTACAATTGTTATTATAGTTATGTATATATTATTTACATGTATAATTTGGTTAGTTAAAGCAGAGGCAGCAGGAAAGGAAAGCCTATCACTCTTATTCTCTTTCATCATGGACAAATTAATCAAAACATACTTTGAAAATAAATGTGCAGAATATTAAACAATAACAATAGATATTTTTTTCATTGAATACATGTTCCATCTTAGGAAACTGGGACAAACCAAATTATCTTTGTCACAATCTATTATTGGGGTTTTGAGGTTCTGTCAAAACAAACAAAAAGTAAATTTCATTTGGTGTGTAGTTTAAAATGAAAATATATTACAAGCACAGGCAATTAAAATAAGACATGTCACCACAGGAGCTTCTAATGATAGAGCTTTTCTCAATTAAACTAGATAAAAAAGGCTATGGAAAAATAATGAGCATGCACAATTAAAGCAGAGTGCTTCATCATACCAGTGTACTAAAAAGTCACTATATTGTAATAAACGATCATTCATTCACAGTTTTGTAAGTACTGCTGTAGCTGAGGGAGTGAGGAAGCCATTTGCTTTGCTGCTTATTCCTGCTTTCTGCAACGTGGCATTGCCTCAAGCACTGTTCTTGAGAAGCCAAATTAAGATTTCAACTTCTGAATTTTTATGGGATGTGACAGTAAGGATGCTTTTTGCAGATTTGCAGATTCTTTCTTCTCCACCTTTTTCCATTTCATTTCTAAAAAATACTATATCTGTTTGTCGTTTCCAAGAGTTATTGAAAAGAAAAATAACTGGCATGCAAAATGATGGGGCAAAACTTTGATATGGACATATTGGACATTTTTACTTTTTCAAAATCAACCCCGGGGAAAATGCAAGGAAAAAATAAATAAAAACAGACCAAAGTCTGTCCAACTCTATTTTGTAGGGTGTTGTTCCAGGTCAAAAATGGTTAAAAAAAAAAAAAAAAAAAAAAAAAAAAAAGCAACCAATTTTAGGTAAGACAGAAGTTAGATAAACATAAAAAAAAATTAACACAAGGGACTGTTGAGTGTGTTTCTTTTTTCCGTATCTATGGAGACTGTGCAAGAGGTTGGTTATTTGAGATGCTATAGGCTTTTTATGTGGCAGTAAATGTGGCAGTAAACATGGCAAAAGACCTTCCAGAGGAAATACTTTGAGAGAATGGCCCATTTCATCACCAAATAAACACAAGAACGGAGTAAGAATGAGGCTGTTCCTGTTGTGTTCACCTGGTTCCCTCTGGACACTGCTGTGACACTGCAGGACACAGATAAGGGACACATTTGGCTCTTCCACAGGATCTGCAAACCCTACCTGACCAGACCTTTGACTGAGACACAAAGGGCAGTCACCATTGTGTCTCAGTCAAAGGTCTCATTTACACTATTCTTAGTGCAGTATAAATGTTGCTGCAGCAAAACCTGAATTTCCCTCAGGATCAATAAAGTATCTCGCTCTCTTATTCTAATTTGAATAGACATTTTTATCAAAGTAAACAAACCTCTTTTTTCATACATCTTTGAGCGCCATTGATCTCAATGCAGATCTATGTAAGTGTATACCGAGTATAACCCCAGTGGCTGAAAAAACTCCAGTAGTTGAAGATTTTTTTCCTTGTCAAGACTCGATACCAAATTCAAACTTTTTTTTTTCTTTGAGGTCGGTTCAGTCTTATATGTAGCAGTAATTCAGATGCAAATCCTTGAGGAATAAAGTACATTTTCTTGGACTGGATAAGTTTGAAAGAAAGATTATTTTATGGAAGGATGTATGCGCCTGTAGAGACGTCTTTGTGACAAACAACATTAAAACAGCAGAGTCCGAGACAGAAGTGCCTATAAGCAGCTCCGTCACATGCACTCGCCCTGATTGAAAAAGGCAGTGATAAAGTACAGGGCCAGAGCAGTATCACAACATGCAGCCTTGAGAGAACATCTTAATTTTCAACAGAACAAAGCCTTTTCTCATCAAGGCTGGATAGTGGCTGATGGTGTTTCAAGGTCTTAATTTGGGTCACTAAACTGCACGAGTCATCCTTGGATATTTTTGCTCTTTCAAATGAAAATCGCAAAAGCAAACAAGAACACGCTCCCCTGTAATTCCTCTACTTATCGACTAACAAGCATGTATGAACTGCTAAGCTAAGAACAATCAAAGATAGCAACCCCACTTAACTGCACTTTGAAGTTAATTATCACTAATGGACTTTTGCAGCCCCATTTGTGAAGACATATTTAACAGAATCCATGTCCTGCTTCATACATCTGAAGACTTTCATTCATAATGCAATTACAATTAAATCATCTCAATTAGCTGAATAATTTGGTACTTTTCCCTCAATTTACAGTCTAGCAAAATGGTCAAATGGTATAAAGCACAATAGTGCAATTATGAAGAACAGAACATGAATGTAAA